AATATGATGTCGCTTTGAAATGGTTTTCACCAGCATTCTTTGAGTTTGTAACAGTTTTGTTTTACAAATTTTTCATTATTTTTATTGCAATTTATTTCATATTATAGCTATGTACATATGAATATTATGGAATACCTTTTGAAATGCAATCTGAATAATACAAACCAAAATAACATTGTATACCCTACACTTTTATTGGGAGAGTATTACTGATATTTGTAAAATACAAAAATATTGATTCTACACTCATCAAAAATTATATTAATTATCTGAGTTGATAACAAATTGGTAAAAAGGCTCCTTGTGGTATATTCCAGAAAAATTGAAAATTTATTTATAATTTTTTGCCTCCCTGACTGCAGCCTTTAACTTTGACATATCTTTTGTAGGTTGTTCTTGTTTTCAACCTTTAAGGTATCTATTGTTTATAAAAACATTAAATACCACACAAAGAAAAATTCAATTCAAAATCAAACAAAAATTGTTAAGCTGAAGTATTTTTTCTAAAATTTGGCCTATCACGAAATTAGTAAAATTTTATGATAATCGTTCCATGGAGATAGGTACCAAATAACCTCATATTTCATTTTAATTTCCAAATGTTCTTCCCAAGCTAGTGTTTTAATGTAAATAATAAAAATAATCGTGTAAAACTAGGTAATTTCCATCCCTCGTTTAACACGAGAAATAAAAAATAGTGTTAAAGCAAAATCGTGTAAAAAATCGTGCAATACGAGGATTAGGTGTACTGAGGAGTTCATATTCTGGGGCAGATATCAAACAATATTATCTTGTTTAATGTAAATACAACGAATGTTTTGATAGTGCGTATACAAGATTCGACATAGCCGTATGTAACATCCTATTTCTTATTTTTATTGCCATGGAGAAGTATTTATATGCTGGCATTTATGTGAAACTAAATAAAAATGTTTTTGCATAAAAATGTATAGAAACAAGTGGGTAACTAAGAATAATTCTTTATAAAATGCAACCAATGTAAACATTTTTCATATACATGTTTTTTAATATATAAAATGTAAAAAAAAGTTTTTCAAAAACAGGTTTAAATGGAGCAAAATATTTAAAACGATTGTAAACTGCTTTAAAAACATTCATTTTTGAAAATAATTCAGTATGTCTGTAACTATTGGAGATATCGTAATTTCACATGGTTGGGGTATTTTCGAAAATTTTCCAACCAGACGATTTTTTGTTAAAAAATTACGAACCTCCATAGGCCCGCTAAATCAAAAATACAAAAAAAGATCGGAAAAAATTATAAATAAAAAAGTTTGACTTAAATATCTCTTGAAGCAAAAGATATAACACACTTCTCAAGGAGTAGTTATTTTAACTACTAACTTTAAGGGGCTACCCACTGCCAATCAAATCGAAAATACCTCAGTTCCAACCATGTGAAATTTAGTTACGATATCTGCAAATCAGTGATTTGTTCGGTTGTGTTTCTTAGAACTATATATCGGCATATCGGTTTTGACATTTTACTTGCTAAAATCATAAAATTTTTACGGTAGTTTTATTTATACCCTACACCACGTTAGTCGAGAGTGTATATTGGACTTGTGCTGACGTTTTTAACGCACATTAATATTGGAACTATATCCACCTTAAACTCGATGTAGCTATTTCCGTCCGTCCATGTAATCCTTGTAATCAACAGGTCGCAATTTTGAATATAATTCATCAAAATTTGGTACATGATTTTCTATTGCCAGGGACGAAGCCCCCCGAATAGGGCTTTTAAGTTAATGTTTTATATACTCGTATCTCGACAAAAAGCTGCAAAACCAAGTTCTATATTAGCCTTGATAATCCTGATGAATTTTATAATTATAGGGCCTCATTTGACCCTAGCCCCTATACAAAGCTCCCTTCTGACTTAAATGTCGACAATTGTATTCAACAATAAATGGCTCAAATGTATCTGAGGAAAGGTACAATTACACTTAAATGCTTTATTATGAACACTAAATCACATTTTATTTTTATAACTTGTTTAGGATATTATATGGCCGGCCTCACCCGACTATAATTTTGTACTTGTTTTAGTTATGTAAATGTATTTTTGGAAATTTAAAACAAAAAACAACAAAACGGGTTAAACTGGTTTTCTTCATTAGCCTACTATCTGGCACATTATCTACATCTGGTACTTTTTTCGAAATTCGTACGGTGATACTTTTTTGGTCCCTTTACAACTTTTTACCTAATAGATATATGGATCATTTCGTGTCCAGTAACCCAACTTTAAAAATCGTTGTCTTCCTATTTTGATGAAATTTGCACCAAGGTTAGTACTATTGGATAGTAGACCAGACACAATTTTCATCGTTATCGGTCCAGAACTGCCGGACTTAGAGGGGGTCAAAGTTGGACATTTTGGTCATACAGGGTTTTATTCAAATGAGTGCAACTTTTCACCATTGGTCCTAGCAAAGATTGTTCAAAGGAGTTCAGAGAAAAAATTTTAAATTTTTTAAAATTTTGTTTAAAAATAATATTATTAATTAATTTTAAATTTTTTTTTCTCAAAAAGCACAATAAGAAAATAATTAAACTTTTAATTGGAATTGAATTCTGTGACATTTGACATAATTTTGTTTTGAAATAATATAATTTCCAGTAATTGTTAAAAATGTTTATTTAGAATATGCTTTGAATATGAAACAAAAAGAGAGTACAAGTGTTATGAAAAGCATTAACAATTCTGTCAAAATTTTGAGTAATAAATTGAAAAAAAATTTATTTTCAAATAAAAAACCATCGTTTGAAAAAATTGTTTTTTTTTTAACATTCAATTCGACATAATATTATTAATAGCATATGGGCATTTCCATGAGAAGGTCTACCAAGGCTGAACAAATAAAAAACCTTCTATCTTTCGCATTTTTAAAAATTTGATACATGGGCTTACAATTATACTAGAGATGAAGTGTGTGGAAAATATTTAAAATTGGTCCATTATTTCACATACATATGTCCCATACAACCGGACCCCTAAATTATGCTTTAGAGCTCATAATTTTGTTAAATATACTAGTATTTTTACAAAAATCGGCAGATATATAACTTATATAATCGTCCACCGTACTGCAGATTTTTGTAATCATTAGGCCTAATTTGACCCTAGCCCCCATACAAGGTAATTATTTAGCAAATTACTTAAAAGTCCATAACTCACTCATAAACATTAGTATTGTTTTCAAATTAGGCATAAGTAAGTTTTATATAAACATAAATTCAACCACAAAACTTCATGAGGATCGGTCCACGTTTAATACTAGTTCCCATATAACACCACTTTTTTATTTTTATCAATAAATTGCTAAAGTATGTTAATAGGTCGATCATGCCCGACTGTATTTTCTTATATCTTTTGTATTTGTTTAAGCGATTGTATATACATATATATTTTCAAAGGATCAACGGAACGACCTAAAAATTAAAATGGAAAAAAATGTGGAGTTCAACATGTCCCGTTCGAACATGGTTAAAATTAATTTAAAAAAAGGAAAAAATAATTTTTTTCGGTAAAATTATAAAAATTTTAAGGAGACATTCTTGTAGCGTTCGAACACCTAGTTTTTTGAATTATCTTTGAAATTAAAAATTGCTTAGCTTATAGGGCTAATTAAAAGCTATAAGTAACCCCTATTGCCAATATAAAAATTACTCTTATTTTGACATTTTTATCACTTTAAATGTGTTCGAATGTCGAGTTCGACATTTTGGAAATTCCCATATATAGAATGTGACTATGATAAACTATACAGAAGTATCATTTATTTTAATATTAAAGAAAAGTTTCAAGTACCCTTGACAAGTGTATGTTTTTGACATATTTTTTGCAACTTAAGTAGATTTTATTTAAAATAACTTTTAAAAGGAAACAAAAGAGTTTTAATTTAATTTATATAGGATCATGACAGTTTTTTAGTAAAAAGTTCAATCATAAAGGTAGTGCGTATCAAAATATAAAATTCCTATTGAACACTTTTTTGGAATTCTAAACAAATTGATCTTTCTTAATAAGCTTATCATGATCATTTACATCATCATTTGTGTGATACATATAAACTTTTGCCAAAATTAATAATACTTTGAACTTTAACTGATATTCTAGCGGAAAATTGGTACCGCATTAATGGTTTAGGGTATCATAAGGTCGACCATCCCAGCAAAATATTTTCAAATTTTGGTAATGAGTAATGTAGGTAATGTTGTTATTTCATACATTACTTGGTAATGAGTGGTCGTTATCAGTAACATCAATTAATTTTTTTTAATAAGATTTGTAGCCAATCGTCTAGCGCGTATGTCTAATAAGGAATTACTTAATGATTCTAAACCTAATCGATATTAAAAGTTTTTTGAACAAATTTAGAATTTTACATTTATGTAAAAACCATTCCAAATAGCGATAAAATAACGTGTAAATGGAGCATTGAGTAAGAGAATAGAATAATAATCACAGAAAATATATATAAAGCCGGTTTTAAATCCGCTTAAGTCGGGTAAGCACATTTGTAACCACTTATTTGTTGGTCATCGTCGAACAAAAATAAGTAGTTATTCACCCAAAAAGTAAGTACTTACACTTTGCTCCAATATTACTTGCCTATTTACCGGGTAAGTAAAGATTTTGCTGGGATGATCTACTTTAAATTATTACTAGTTTTTATTGATTGTTTATTTATTTATTAAATTGAACACATTATTTTCAATTATTAGAAATATTTACTTATAGAGCATGTGTCCTTTTAACTGTTAAAAATTTAATCGAAAGTACTTAATCCACTTTCGATGCGTTTAGAAAAATAATTTCTTTTCAAAAACATCAATCACAATATAGAAACTATTTACAAAACCAACATAATCCACTCAAATAAAAGTAAACATTTCTTTAATTCCTTGTGTTACAAGTTAAAAAAAAAAAAAAAACATTATTCTTCTTTTTCTATCAAGCACTACTCTACCTGTACTACTTCTAGCTTTTTTTAATAGAGCCACTTCAATGTAATTGTCATCATCTTCAGCACGTTGTACACTGAAGACCATGGGACCAACCGGTATACGAATGGCATTGCCACTGATGAAGTCAACAAATGTCGACATACTACGACCGGTTTCAGCTGGCTTTGAATTTAATTTAGATTTTGTTTTGTGGGTCGACGATGTTGGTAATTTCACCAAATCTAAAAAGCCAAATTTAACCGTTTCACCACGACGATATGAGCTTAAAATGCCACTGGCCAAGGAATACAAACAACTGGCATTATTGGCACACTTCCAAGAAAGTTTATCGACAAAATCCGTATTAACATGAGAGGAAGTTGTTGCTGATGATGACGATGATGAGGTTGATGTTGCGGACGATGAGCCTGTAGATGCTGATGATGCTGTACCATCACCATTGTCTGTTAATTTGTTTGATAAATGGCTTTCATGTTTATTTTTGTTTGTATTAACACTATTTGCACCGCGTGAACGTATTTCTGATTTAACTGTTGGTATTAGCATACAACACAAATATAAAGTTAGCAACACTGTTATCGTTTTCAATTGCTTTTTATAGAATTTTTTATAAGCCATTTTTTTATTAATTTATTTATTTTTTTTCTATTTTGAATTATTTTACACTTAAGGATTTTCTTTTAAATAGTATAGGATCCTATTGGATTTTCTTTTTTGGTTATAATTCACACATTTATTTATTATCCTGGACTTGAAATGTCCAGTTTCCACTTTGGGGCGAAAGACGCGTTCGCGTATTATTAAATAGTGTTTCTTTTTTGCTTCTATTGTTTTTATGGTGTGAGTTTATGGTTGTGGCTGTTCAATGTCGACTAATTATTTTTGCAATCTTGCAACTCAGTTTTATTGTCTCTGTGGCACCAACTATTAATAAAAAAACTAAAAGCGTAAGATAAACGCAAATAGTAGGTATATAGAAGAATACTACAATTTAATATTTTTCTTGTAAATAAAGATATTTTTGTTGTTGCATTATTATGATTAAATATAATTTAGTTTTAGAAAATGTATTTCTATTGCATTTTGCAGTTTTAAGGCTATACACAATGGGATGGGAGAAGAAAAAAGTCAAAGAAAATATTTTTTGACAGATGGAAAGAGTTGAAATTACATAATAAGCAAGAGAATTCCTTTTGAGCTATTTGACGAAACATTATCAAATTTCAAGTGACTATTCTGTGAATTGGTGTGATTGCAATCCCGAGCAAAAGAGTTACTACCAGTCTGCCGGGACTATAAACTGGTGATGATCAAATGTATTCTCGGCCTTTCCTTGGAATGATTTAACATGGGGTCGAACCAGAGAACCACATAATATGGTACCACGGGAACCGTCAGTCCGCAGGGCAGAGTTTCGGACTTTGTATTGTCCCGATTATTGGAGAGGTCCCTTCGGGGTGCACGTGGTGGCAGTGGTTTAAACCCAAATTCGCGGGAAGAGAATGTCAGTTAAAAGACTGGTACACGGTGAAATCTATAATTATGGATAAGTTCGATGCTGTTGTCGAAGTCAACAGATTGTTATCTATGGGTGTGTCGAATGAATGAGAAGTGTGCAGGATTGAATGGTGTTGGATCAAAGTTATCTTATACAAGTGATACCATTGAATTTTCCTTCCATGTACAGGTATGTTTAGAGAAAACTCTGTTTATACCAGATTTACCACAGTGTGTTCTCTGTGAGTAAGAACAAAATCCTCGGCTTATTTAATGGATTCATTTTCCGGACTACCGAATACGTCTCTAGGCGCTGTTGCCGACTGAACAGAGACCATCACGTCTGCGTGATTGTAAACGGATATGATGTTTTTCATCTCGGAAGTTAAGCAACGGGTCAGCAATGGTTAAAAATTAGATAACTCTAGTACTTCAGCAAAGTGCTTGTACATGGACCGACAAAACTATGTACAAAAAAAGGATACACAAAGGGATGTTGGTGAGTCGTCAAAAAAGCTCAGCCTCCGGGTAAAAAGATCACCGTGAAATAAGGCCGCAACGCAGGTGTTCACGTAAAGCACATCGACATATCGTCAATGTAAAAAGAAAACAAGTAAGAGAGTTATATTTGTGACGAATCTTATATACCCACCATCAAATCATTGCCGAAATATCAAGAATAAACTTTGATATATAAGAATCGATGCTTTTGTTATTATGGAAACAATTTTTTCATTCATTAGATTAATTAAGGCGTGATCCCCGTAATATTTTGTAGAATGATTTTCATTCAAACAAATCTTGTTCATCACTATACTCGTATTTTTAAGCCAATAATGAGCTTTAAAGTAATTTTCTGAAGGGGACCTTATATGGAGGGTAGGATCAATTGTGGCGTGATCCTCGTGGAATTTTGTAGCACAATTTTGGCTCATACAAAACTTGTTTTAGTCGAATTTCATCGCCAGTATTTAGCGTTAAAGTCAAGGTGGCCTTGACTAGGGTCAGGTCTTGTTTATGTTGAATTTCATCGCCGTACTAGTATTTCTCAGATAGTAACGATAAACGCTCATTTTATGAAAGGTTCAATTATGGACCGATCCTCAGAGAATTTTATGGAGAAATTTTGGCTAACACAAAACTTTTTCATGTCGAATTTCATCGCCGTACTCGCATTTCAAAGCCAGTAATGAGCGGTAAAGTAATTTTCTGGAATTGACCCTACACCTTATATGGGGTGTAGGGTCAATTATAAACCGATCCTCTAAGAATTTGGTACATAAATTTTAGCTCGCATAAAACTTGTTCATATCGAATTTCATCGATATACTCGCATTTTTAAGTTTATAATGAGCGTTAAAGTCATATTCTGGTGGGTATGGTCAGTTATAGACCGATCCTCATAAAATTTGGTGGAGAAATTTTGGATCCCACAAAACTTATTCATGAAAAATTTCATCGCTATACTCACATTTTTAAGCCAGTAATGAGCGTTAAAGTCATATTCGGAAGGGGCCTTATATGGGTCAATTATGGGCCGATCCTTTTACAATTTTACAAAGAGATTAATGTTCTTATATGACATGCTTGTGCCGAATATTACCGCTATAGAATCTTCCTTTAGCCAGTTATGAGTGTAAAAGTAATTTTTTAAGGGGACCTAGGCGAAATCGTGGACCGATATTGCCCATTTTCAATACTAAACACACTGCATCAATATAAAATATCTGTGAAAAATTTCAGCTCGCTAGCTACTTCCATTTGGACTCTATCTATCAACAGACAGTCAGACGGACAGATTGACGGACATGGCTAGATCGTCTTAGAATTTAATAAGGGCCCAGAATATATATACTTTTATGGGTCTTAGACGAATATTTCGATGCGTTACAAAAGGAATGACAAAAACAATATACCCCCCATCTTTTTTGACGGTGGGTATAAAAATCATAAATCCCTTAATTCCCAAAAAAAAAAATTTGAAAAATACCAAAAATTGGGTTTTTAGTTTTTTGGCTATAATACCCATATCAGGGGCGGGGTTATCGTTACTCTTTACAGAATAATTAAGAACATATTGGACCATATAAAATGGGTTACTAAGCTTTTATATTGACTTTGCAATTTGAACATTTTTGCACTAACTTTTTATTTTACATAATAAATAGGCTTCTTGAAGTTGACTTCTTATTTGACTAAATCCAAACCATAGTGAATGATATTAGATTTAATTTTCTTTCCAAAGGGGGTTACTTCTGAGGTATTAATTACACCGCACAATAATAAGTTGAAAAACAAAACTAAAAGAAGTAGTTAAACATATCGTTTTCATTTCAACAAGTGAATATACATAAGTGTAAGTTTTTCTCTTTCTTTCTATCTTTTGACTCTTTCTTTATTTTCAAAGTTAGTTTTTCATTTAAAAATCTGCGTGTACTTTTTGAACAGCATCAGTAATTGCAACATGTTGTTTTGGCTGCTACATTTACTGAGGGTGATGCTAAAATTGCATGTTGCATAAATATAAAACCACAGCTATAATTTTAAGGCGTTTAAAGTTTTTAAAGTCGCTCTTTTACTACCAAACTGACTTAACTCCAAAAAATAGTTTTAAGGGAAACTTTGTTGAATGTTTGTTTTATTAATTTGTTTAAATAACTTTTTAATATGATTAACAAATAATGGGAATTGAAAATTGAAACTATCATCTAAATTTAAATAATTATTTTTTAGCTATCAAATCGTTCTCAGAATCCGAATTTCAAGTTATGTCAATCTTACAGTAAATGAGTGTTTTGTTATAAAAACTAATCAAATCTTTGGTCTGATGAACCTGCACATACATACATAAACTTTGAAGAAGTATTTACATATGTGTTGAAAATAACAAATATAAACGTGTGCATTCAACTCTTTTTACACCCTACACCACCATGGTTGAGAGGGTATAATGTGTTTGTGCTGAAGTTTGTAAAGCACCAAAGAATCACTTTCTGAGTCGATTAACACATGTCCGTCCATTTGTCCGTCCGACTGGCTGGCTGACCATGTAAACCTTGTGAGAAAGATGCAGAAAGCAATTTTTAAAATATTTTGATGATATTTAGACATTTCCAAAAAGGTCCATTATTCCACCTAGCCTCTACATATAACTAAGACAAATATATTGTCACCTGAAATGCAAAAAGGCGTAACAACCAAAGCTGAAGCTGCCATTTTTGTAATAATCATAATTGACTTATAATTTATATAAAAATTTATTACAAATTTTGTGAGGATCGGACCACATCAATACTGTTATAGGGTATCATATGATCGGCCAAGCCCGACTATACTTTTCTCCTTGTTTTTAAATTAAATAAAAAACGAAATTAAAAAAACATGTAAATGTTTTCTTTATAAAACTATTTTTTATGTCAAAGTCAATAAACCATAAAAATGGTTTTTAAAAATAGAAGAAAATAAAATTAAAAGTTTAAAAAATAATATTTAAAGAAAATATTCTGCAATAGAAAAGTAATACAAATATTTTCAACTACATATGAAACCAATAACTTTTTTGAAGCAAAATTTAAAAAATGTATGTACCGAATTCATCGAAGTCGGTCTTGTTCAAAATTGCACTTTTTTTGTTCGAAATTACGAAAACTTGCGACGCTAACCTTTTTGCTCCTTTCAATTTATTTATAATAATTTCAAGTTTTCTAAAGTTAAACTGTTTGTTTGATTTATACTAAATTTTATGAATAAACATGCTTCAAATTACGAAAAGGTTACAAAAACATTTATAACCATTATTATTAAAAGGGTTTCAGTCGACAAAGTAATAATAAGATAATATATGGCTTATTTCCGTGAAAAACGTCTGAGATAGTAAAACTCTCTGTGTTGTGGGTGAACAATTTTTTAAAGTTCAAAATTTAAAAAAAATTCTCAGTAATCATCATTAAAATTGTTTACAATTCAAAGCGTTTCGTTTTATAACACATTCTAAAGCAAATTAGCACTGTGTTCAAAATAAAAAAGCCAAATTATTTAATGGTTTTTTC